GAAGTGTTCCCCTTTCTCCACATCCTCTCCAACATAAACTGTCATTGGTGTTCTTGATTTTGGCCATTCTGACAGGAGTAAGATGGTATCTCAAAGTTGTTTTGATTTGCATTTCCTTGATGGCTAAGGATGTTGAACACTGTCTTATGTATCTTTCAGCCATTTTAGATTACTCTATAGAGAATTGTCTATTTAGTTTTGTACCCCACTTTTTAATTGGATTGTTTGGTGTTTTGGAGACTAGCTTCTTGAGTTCTTTGTATATGCCCAAAGAATGCACACTCATACAATAAGGACATATGTTCAACAATTGATAAATGGGACCTCCTGAAACTGAGAAGCTTCTGTAAAGCAAAGGACACAGTCAGCAAGACAAAACGCCAGCCCACAGAATGGGAAAAGATATTCACCCACCCCACATCTGACAGAGGGCTGATCACCAAAATATACAATGAAATCAAGAAGCTAGCCACCAAAACACCAAACAACACAATTAAAAGATGGAGTGCAGAACTAAATAGAGAATTCTCAACAGAGGAATCTAAAAAGGCTGAAAAACACTTGAGAAAGTGCTCAACATCCTTAGCTGTCAGGGAAAGGCAGCTCAAAACCACTCTGAGATACGATCTTACTCCTATCAGAATGGCTAAAATCAATAACACCAACGACAGTCACTTAACTCTTGACTAAAAGAAATAGTTTGTTGTTTGAATGTATTCTCTAATTGGTGAGAAAGAAATATAAAAGGTAATCTGTGACTTAATGTTCAGTAGTGTTTTTTAATGAAATTGAGTGCACTGATGATCTATGTGATTAGAATAGTTATTTGCTCCCAAGAGTTACGTCTTTATTATATACAAAATAACCGTCTTTTTCTTTTGTGGAAGAAAAACTTTAATTGTCATTGCATAAAACACCTGTATGAAGTAAAAAATTGGTTTTGAATAACATTAGTAGAGAATATGCTCTAGAAAGCGAAGGTAACTCTATGTAAAAACTCTGGCAGCAATTTATTAGAACAGTTGCAGATGGTCAGCTGAGGCCAGCATCTAATGAGGACGAAAGCCTTGTCTGTAGGGGATTTTGGACGATGCCTGCAGAAATATTACACTGTGCATAAACCAAATTGAATCATTTTCACAAGTGTTGTAGAGATTCATACAGTCAAAGTTCTTTTCTACATGCACTTCAATTCCACAGCAAGAGTGGCATAGAATACCTAAACACAGAAGAGAGCATTCATGCAAGATATCTAACTCCTTGATATAATAATGCATACACTTCAAAATGATTACACTATCATTACTCTTTACGGCTTTCTGCAACTACAAGGTGGTGGTCATGGAGAACCCAGCCCCCAGTATCAACATCTAGAAAGCAGCTACCACCTCCTGTGTGTCTTCTCTTTTTGCATTTTTTCTTCTTCATTTTTCTTAATCAACTCTGCTGTTGCTGTTGCTTCTTAACAAAACTGGTAAAAACAAAATTGTAATCATTGAACATAGCACTCTGGCAATCAAGACGTTTAAAACCTTCAATCTTCTGGGGTGAAGAAAGCACTGTGCAACATTTAGAACTCTGATTAACAAACAAGGTGGTCACAAATTATCCTGGCTTGAAGACTTTCACAACCTTCCTGATCAGGTCATCATAGGTCTGATTGAGGTTTGTTTCAAAGCTAGCATAAGAGAATTCTGGTTCTGGAGTGATGTGAATAGTCCAATAGGTTCCATCCGATTTCATTCGATTCATCGAGTAGCCACAGGGATTGAACAGTGTGGCATCAATGACAGAACCTGGTATCAGGTCACGAATTCCACTCTCACGAGTGACATCCTTTGCAGTAACACTATCTTTCATGTAGAACTGGTCCATAACTGCTGGGTCAAGCTCACTCATCAGAATTTCCAGGGTTTGATCTGGCTGATTGATTACTTGGCTCTCTGGGAAATCCAAAGTATAAAAGTACCAACAGTCAGAATTCATACTTCCACTACAATATGCTGCTCCATTTGGGAAAATTGCATTAAGAAATTCAATTTCTTCTTGGAAATTCCGGTGTGGGTACCCTTGGTGAGAAGGCTTCATGATTCTTACGAGAATAAAAGAAGCTTTGAATCGAGTCAAACCCACTGTAATCCCTAGCAAGCTTCAAGAGGGGAACCAGTGCTTTCAGTAAGAGGGTGGTACCACATCTCTTCAAAATGAAACGTCTCTTGGAGACAAACATGCTACTCTCACTGAGTACATAAGCTTCCTGCTTGTCAGTCTTCGTCACACTGATGATTGAACACTGCACATCCTTCAAAAGGGCATCCCACTCAGATCTCGGGATGGTGCGAAGATCCCCGGATCCCTGGCTTGTGTCGGGCTGCTGCCTGGAGAACCAGACCTCCAGCAGTTTCTCGGTCCCTTTGAAAAAATGTGCAGCTTCCATCACCGTGAGACGAGCGAACAACCAACAACCACAGAAAATCAACTAAATTAAATCTCTTCTCCCGCCTCTCCCGCCTCTCCCGCCGCCGCTGCGGATTGTTCCAGCTGTGTTACTAAAGTTCAGGTTCCTTTTTTTTTTTTTTGCTATGATTTTATATTAACTTTTTTTTAAAAAAAGGACTAATAAAATTCTCCCTATTTTTCTGAGGGAAAGTTGAACGTGAGTCTGTTGGAAATAGAGGCAGATACAGTTTAGTCTCTTGTAGTCCGCTGCTTTCCCGTTAGAGAGAGTTGAGCGAGCGCTAGCTAATGTCGCCAGCCATACTGTGTAAGCCCAAACTAACCGTCTTTATCTCCTTTACCTAACTGTAGTTCATAGTCCAATTTATCACACATTAGAATGATTAATCTAACATTCTATCTTTATAGTTCCATTTCCTTGGCATGTTATTTTCACCCTTTCATTTTAAAGGCTGTGTTTTTTTTTCTAATGAAGTGTGTGTGTGTGTGTGTGTGTGTGTGTGTGTGTGTGTGTGTGTGTGCTAGAGGAAAAAGAATAGGTGGATTTCATAGTTTTAAAACAAGATGGCAGTCTGTGTTAACTGATAGAAGAATTGAAATTATTAACACCCAGAGTTGTTAATGAAAAGTATGTATTATTTTCTGTCATTTTGTTTTTATAACTTTCACAATTTTCTTAATGTTCCTTTGCTTATCTATTGCTGTAGTGAACATTCTTATAATGATATGGATATGGTTGTCTGTCTACAGTGTATACAAGTCCTTCACATATTTTCTGTAGCACTGTCTGAGTGGTCACAAATTCTTTTATTTTTTATCATATAAAGTTTTCTTTATCTTGCAGTTGTGGTATAGTGATCTGAATCATCAATCTTTTAGACCTTGAAATTTATCATTTCTTGCCTTCTTGTATTTTCGATTTTTTCCTAGGAAATCTGTTAATATGCTTACTTGATACTTCTCTTTTGTGTCTTAATAATCTGTCCTTGTTCTATGTATGTGGTGTTTTCACTCTAACATAATATAGAGGTTTTTTTTCTGCTCTTGTCTAACAGTCTAAATTTCCTGTATCTTTGTCTAGATTTTGGAAATTTTATGCTGTTATTTTATTGGATCAACTCCCCATGTCTCTTATACATCTTCTTATGATCCACAAATTCAGTTTTCATGATGGTGTCCCATATACCTTACCTGTTGTTTGTTTTTATCTGCTTATTGTTTTACCTTTATTGTCATCTGGAAGTTCTAATTTACCTCCCTTGCCTTCAATCCCTGGCATCCTTAATGGTTTCATTCTCTTACACATATTTTTGTGTTTATCTAGATGTGTGTTTCATTTACAAAGTTACAATTCTTGAACTCTTATCAATCCTTCATTGTCTTCCTTATTTCCCTCTGTTTGAATGTTCTTTGATTGCATATAAGCATTTATTTATGTCCTCTTTGGTTTCACTATACTCTTATAATCTTTCTTTATCTTAAATACTGGTATAGTTTAATCCCTAACTTTCCACCCAGATACTCAGTACACCAGGCCTGATCTCAACACCACTTGATATATAGACCAACTATAAAATTACAGTAATTATCAGCTAAGAGCAATTACCCTTTCAACTCCAATAAAGGAAAAAAGTCAGCATAGTATATAATAGGATATTATGATATTAAGCACTAAGGGTCAGAGTTGAAAAAGAATAAGCTGAGTAAGTTTGGGAAATAACATAAGAAAGTTAATAGAAAGTTAATAGAGGAGGTTCAAGTAGAAGGATTAGTTGGGAAATTGCTTATGTAAATAGGTTTAAGAATATTAAAGCTATAGATGATCCTAATTAAGAAGTGTAAAAAGAGTTTATACCAAACTTGAAGATAAATCCCTACTCACTTTCACTGTGCTGGAAGGTGCTATGAATGCTTCTAGGGAAGAAAAATAATCAAAATTATGAGCTACAATAACCAGTGACCTTGGCTGTATATGCCCACTTGTACAATTGAAGCTTCAATGTTATGGAAGTAACCAACAATTTCTAATTTGACTGCTTCATGAGACAGGACTAATACTGGGTATTGACACCAGTTAATAGACAGGAGATGGGCCCCAGGGGAAAACCTACTATTATTCTCTTGAATAGGTCTAGGGTGAAATTGACCAATGAATATATAACTTTACACCCACAGTTAAGTACATCTTTCCACCTTTATCAGAGAACCTCTTTCCACAGTTGTCTGTGATTAATACAGAGAAACAATGTGTCACCTTGCAGAGAATAAGAGACTATGGAGTTCTCAACCATAAATGAGACATTTATATAACAGCTTGACCCCCCCCCAATGTCTCAAGGAATAGTATGGAAGACAAAGCAGAAATACTGTATGCTGGCTAATTTTATGTCAGGTTGATACAGCCTCCATAAGGTCAAGCTGTAGGCAAGTCTGTAGAATATTTTTTTAATTAATAATTTCTGTAGGAAGGGACATCCCTGAGCTGATGGTACTACATTGATAAGAAAACAGGCTGCTGAGTAAGTCCTGGGGGCAATCCATTAAGCAGCATCCCTCCATGGCCTCTGCTTGAACTCCTGCCTCTAGGTCCCTGCCCTGTTTAAGTTCCTGTTCTAATGTCCTTTGATGATGAACAGTGATAGGAAAGTGTAAGCCAAATAAACTTTTTCCTCCACAACTTGCTTTTATTAATGGTGTTTCATCCCAACAATAGAAACCCTAACTAGTAAAGATTATAAAAATGATAGTGTGTATTTTCTGTAAAAAAAAACAAAAAAACAAAAAACAAAAAAAACAAAAAAAACATTGCTTTCTGGAAATGAGGGGGCTGATAGACATATGAACTCACAGCATACACAAGATCAAGTTAGACAGACATCTTAGCATGGATGGGGACAGCAGTCATACATAGCTCCTCTTCTCTAGCTTAGGAACTATTGTCAATTTATTGCCACTAGGAGAGTGAGAGTCGATTTTCTCCAGTAATGTACTCCTTGAGAGATGATCCCAGCTCCAGTAGATAGATCTATACCCAGGCAAAACTAAATAGACGCTGAATCAGAAAAGAAGAAAGAAAGAAAGAAAGAAAGAAAGAAAGAAAGAAAGAAAGGGAAAAAAGAATGAGAAATGCATGAAGTTTGGAGGGAAAATGGTGGGAAGGGGATAGAACTCTGGGGGAAGGGAGTAAAATGGTGAATTTGATCCTAACATATGTGTACATGGACTTATTTTAATTAATTAATTAGTTAGTTAATTAATTTTATATCCTCACAGAAGTTTCCCCTCCCTCCTCTCTTCCCAGTCCCTCCCCCACCACTCCTCCGTCTCCCACCACATAGACCCCTCATCTGTTTCTCTTTAGGAAATGGCAGGCCTCTCATGAGTATGGACAAAACATGGTATATCAAGCTACAGCTAAGACTAAGCACCTCCTCATGTATTAAGACTGGGTGAGGTGACCCAGTTTGAGGAGTAGGGTCCTAAAAGCCTGTTAAAGGAGTCAGAGACAGCTTCTGTTCCCACTGGTAAGAGTCCCACAAGAAGACCAAGCTACAGAACTGTCAGAAATGTGAAGACAGCCTAGGTAAGTCCCACAGAGGCTCCCAGGTTATCTGCTCAGTCTCTGGCAGCACCTATGAACCCAGGTTAGTTGATTCTGTTGGTGTTCTTGTGAAGTCATTGGCTCCTCTGGCTCCTGCATCCCTTCCTCCCTCTCTTCATCGGGACTCTCCAAACTTGGCCCAATGCTTGACTGTGGGAATGAAACTGTGTTTCCATCAGTTGCTGAATGTAGCCTTTCTGATAACTATTGGGCTAGGCACCAATCTATGAGTATAGCACAATATTGTTAGGTATCATTATGTTATAATTCTCATACCAGTGACTTAACAGCACACCTTAAATATCTAGAACAAAAAGAAGCAGACACACCCAAGAGGAGTAGATGGCAGTAAATAATATAACTCAGGGCTGAAATCAATAAAATAGAAGCAAAGAGAACAATACAAAGAATCAATGAAACAGAGTTGGTTTCTTGAGAAGATCAACAAGATAGACAAACCCTTATCCAAACTAAACCAGAAGGCAAAGAGAGAATACCCAAATTAACAAAATCAGAAACAAAAAGATGCATGGACTCCTTAAACAATAGTAAAGAGGGAAGGAGATTAGAAGAGAGAATTGGGAAATGAAGAAGGAATTAGGGGGAAGCTTATGGGTTATTGGTAAGAGGAATAATATAAAAAACACAACTGAAGAAATACAGAAAAGATGAAACAATCATATAACTCAACTGGGTAACATAAAAACTCTATCTTTGTAAGCTGTTAATAACAAATTTGGCTGTAAAGCCACAAATTAACCAATGCAGTGATAACAGGGAACTTCAGTGCATCACTGTGACCAATACTCAGGCCATCCAGACAAAATCTAAATGGAGAAACATTGGAATTAAATAATATCACACATCAAATGTTATACACTGATATAACATTCCACACAAACATTAAAGAATTACACTCTTTTACGCAGCCCATGGAATTTTTCTTAAAATTAGGAAACAAATATTAGGAAACAAAATAATCTCATGAAGTATAGGAAAATTAATAATATCCTATATTCCATTTACCCACTATGGAATAGAACTAGATATCAATAGGAATAGGAACTATAGAAGGCACACAAGCTCATAACATTTAAACAAATACTCTTAAGTTAGTATGTGTCACGAAAGGAATCAAGAAGAAAAAATTTAAAATCTTAGAACTGAATCAAAATGAAAGCACAATTTATCAAAACCTATGGGACACGGTGAAGTCCATTCTAAGTGGACAGTGGACAGCACTTAAAGTTTTAATTAAAAAAATTGACATACCTTATGCCAATAATTTTAATGATGAACCTGAGATCCTTGGAAAAACTAAACACAGCAAATACTTGGGATAAAAAAGTTCAAGCATAGAGGGATGTGAAAGTGTGAGAGAAATAATTTGATGTCAGGGAGGGATAACCAAAAAAGGTTGTCTACAAAGCCATATAGAAGCTTACTATCT